GGTGCTGGCACTGGGAATGGGTAGAACTAATGGCTTCCTCATTGGCCTTCTTGGAGTAATCAAACAGGGTGAGGCTGCCATTAACATCCATCGTGTTAAGATCCATCAAGTCAACGGATTTCTCGACCCAAGGCAGTTTCGCAAAAGGGCCATCGCCATTCTCCAATTGTTGTGTTGTTCTAATGGTTTCTTCCTGGGATTTCTCAGCGAAATAAACTAAATTCTCAATGTCTTCACCCCTCACACCCAGAAACTTGAACAAGATCGATTCCTTACCCCCTGTGAATGTAGAAATATGGCCAACGAGAGATTGTCGCCGTATTTGCATTGCTTCTTCTCTATCGGAAAAATCAAGTGGGTTCGTCGTTGGTTCAACAGCATTCTTGAACCCTAAGCAAGATATCCGTTTGGTCATCATGATTCTCAGGCCTATTTCAAGTTTCAATCTCTGGAGAGGTATGTTGAAATCAGGTCAAATAATCATGAAAGAAACAACAATGTATGACAGAGGAAGAGAAGATTAACATTACGAAGAGAAGGAAAGAACGTATACCAGTAAACGGTGGGTGCAGCAGTCTAGGGTTCTGAGAGAAAACGCCAGAAAGATAAAGAGGAAGAGGGAGGACTGAGAAGACAGTATTAAGTAAACTGAAGTGGGTTTTAGAGGTCTGAGGCTTAATTTATGGGGAATGGGAATGGAACCTCGTATCAACGGTAAAACTTGAATGTAAGTAAAAGCAGAGTCGGAGTTGAGCTGGTCAATGGAATTTCAATGACAGCTATTAATCTCAACAGTAATATTCCAAGCAGAACACGATCAACTACGATCTTTTATGCGCGTCACTAATGAAATCAAAGATCGGAACTTTGAAGGGAGCAGACAAATGGGTAGTTGGTATTTAACAAATATATATAAGAAACAATTGAATAATGTGAAAGAGAGAAGATGAATATTCGTATAATATTTGGTTATCTGTCAAATTTGCTCGCCCTCAGTCACGGCCGTCCATGGTCGGTGGAAATCCTCCATTCCGGTGACGGTTCGGCTTCGGTGCTTGCCAGGTCAGCATGACGACTGGGACCCACTTTCACTTTTTCTGATGTGGCAAAATCACATCCGTTCAACACACATCTGTTTTCGTTGATCAATGATTTCACGTTAACGTATGCAGACGTCAGACTGTATTTTTCTTCTTTTTCTTAAGCTTTTTGTTTTTTTTTTGCCTGACTGCATTTTTCTTATTTTTCTTTTTATGGTCAATTTTTTTAGTTTTACAGCGTCACATTTACGTCATAAAGAATAAAAATAAAATTCAGTTAATGAAAAGGATGAGTAAAGTATTTTAATTGTAAATTTTTAGTTTTGAGATCGAAATGCTTTTTTTTCTTTTTTCATTTCTAAAATATAGAAGTTAAGAGTAATGATCAGGGGCAAAAGTGCGGAATGAAATTAAGGGACGATAAGCGAGTAAAGTGAAATTGATAATTTTGTATCCTGCAATTTTCACTTATCATCTCTCACTTTCATCCCGTACTTTTGTCCTCCTTATCATTACTCAAAAGTTAAAAGTTAATTTTACTATTCGAGAGTGTTTCTATAAAATCATTAATATCTTCTTCTACAGAAAAATTAAGGTACTCAGGTCAAAACCTTCACTGAGACACTAAAGCTATTTAGAAGGTTGTTGTTTAACTTAATTTTATTTTTTTTATTATCGGAAATTTAA